AAATTAATATTCCTGCCCCACCCAGATAATAATGATAATAAGGGATTTATTTTTTAATTAAATTTCATCTCAAATATAGAAGCTGAATTTACTGTGATCTTGTGTTGCACATAAGTAGTCAAAATAAGATGGTATTTACACATACTTACATGGAGACCTCTCTTAATTGCCTTTCACTTTATGCTCTTTCACTTTAGAGATTTCTGAGATTCTTTTTGTATTTTACACACTTTATGTCTTCTTAGGTTAGTGGGTGGTTGGTTTTTTCATACTTAATGCCAACTCTTTCTCCAACTTTTTTGTATCTCTACTTCTGTATTTTCCCTCACTTCCCTGTTGCTCATGCAGGTTTTTTTCCTGGTTTAGAAGCTCTTGCTCTATTTTCTGTTTTTTATGGGCATTGAGGTGTATTTCCCACCATTGCCACCACCTCACCAGCAATGTATATTTGTCTTCCTTGTCATAGTGCTGTTCACCTTTGTCTCAAGTTCTTGCCATGGTGGCATATATTAGGAGTTGATTCCAGCTGCAAACATGGCACTAATGCCAGTGGCAATCCCTCAAATTTTATTTCATTTTTTTAAATTACTTTTAAAGGAAGATGTCTGTACTCTCACGTTTTCCCATACAGTGACTGGCTTCTTTCTTCTTTGCAGTCTGGAGGATAGCAATGGGAATGAGGAGCCCTGTTGTGGCAGCCCTGCTGGAGGTGCAGAGCTCTGGTGCAGCCCCCCTGCCCCTTGTCTGGGAGCAGGACTTAGGTCTGGCAAGGAAGAACAGGGAAGACTCAGCTCTTTGCTCTCATGATGTCCATAAGGCTGTGTTCATGAAGCTTTGCTACAATATGGGACAGAAGGAGGGAATGGACCACAGTCTCACTTTCAGTATGGGCATGTTATCTTGGCTCCTGCTCAACACTGGTTAGAGGGATGCTTTAGCAACAGGCAGAGGGAATGGTTTGTGGCTGGTGATGCACCATGGGGACCAGAAAGGCAGGTGCATGCCTGAAAACATGCGGTATTGTGTCATTCCCTGGATCAGTGGTATTTAAATGCCTGCTCGTGGATGACCTGCTTCCCACTGCTGGCTCTGTCTCTCTTGTATTACGACTTCGCAGAGTTTTTGGGTGCGGTTTACTTTGAAGTTTGAGACAAAAATGAAATGCTGAAAGGTAATAGCTATACCTACTCAGCATTTTGTGCTGTGCATTTAATGTAAGTCTACTGCGTGTGGGAAACTCAAATTGTGCTGGGAGCATCTGAAATGCTCTGCCGTTTCATCATGCACACCATCTGGGGAAAAAGAAACGGGCCCCCTCCACCCCCCAGGCTCCCTACCCTGTCTCACCAAACACTTAGAAGTAGTAATAACATACCAGAAATAAATTGCTACTGAATTTTGTGGTTAAGACTTAAGACTTTATTTTTGTTGTGATTTAAACTGTAATTCTATGATGCTAATTCCAAGTTCATTATGGAAATGCACTACTGGAGCTCTGTATTAAAAGCGTGGAGTTAATTTTTGTCCATATAGTGCCTGTCAGTTCAGGAGATTTCTTTTTTTAATGGTCAGAAACCTCATGTTTTCTATATAAATGTATTTGATCTGCCTGACCATGGAGCCTTGCCTTTGGACTGGGCATCTCTTCTCTCCCTTTCTGGTTTTGCTTCCCTTGTGCTGGTAGATGGCAGCAGTATTGCCTCTCATGCCCCATTTTATGGGTATAACGGAACCAAGTTCTCCAGTTCTCATTTTATAGGTCCCTTGTCTTCTCTCATCATCATGCTCCTCTCTCTGCAACTACTAATTTGAATCTTGCTTGAACTTAAATGGCCTGCCCTCATTTACAGACATCTGGAACACCTCAGTGGTAGAAGGCAGTTGTGGACATAAGTCTTTTTTTTTTTTTACTTCAAGCATGCCGCTTCAGTGACTTGCAGTCACCAGGAGGTAGATCTGTTGTGTTGCGCTTCTCCAGACTTATGAGTTCTGAATGCTTAAGAATAGTTTTTGTGGAGTATGATGAGATTGATTGGAGTATATGCTTTGAAGCTCAAGTTGTAACTTCAATTAGTCTTATTTAAAGTACAGTTATATTGGTAAAAGGAATAGCATAATGGCTTCTATATTTGAATGCATTAATCACTGAACAATGTTCCTGTTCACATCTCTAATGTTAAATCTAATTGCAAGGTTGATAGCTTGTCTTTTTTCCCCTGCTTATTTCTGTGGTGCTATTTAAAATTAATTTTAAGGTTCATTATTCTGGTAGAGTTTAAAACTGCTATTAGCTATTTTGAGACTTGTGGCTTCAGTGATTTACAATGATTAGGGAAGAGTAACTTGGCGAGGACAGTATTTACAAGTGCTGATTTGTTGAAATGATACCTTTTTGTGTCAATTTGCTAACCTGAGTAATAACTTTTTGGGTGCCATCTCATGGTCTCTGGGTGTCAGTTCCAGGCCCTGACCGGATGAGAACTGGCGTTGGGGCAGTCCCACATGAGATGGTAGGTGTGATCAAACTGCTGGCTTGGGAGCTGGGGGAGGCACATTTTGAACCATGTTTTATCCTGCACACAAAGGCTGTGAATAGCTGTGTTCTGCCTCCTATGTTGTCTTTCCCTGGCCTTTGGGAAGTTTCTGGTCTCTCACCAGTTTCTGAAGGTTTTGGCTCATGTTGGCAATAGGTGTTCTCAGAAGCTGTAAGTGTTATTTATCAAGAGGTTGATGTTTGATAGGTTTAATTGCTGCGACACCTTCAAAATTAATTCTCTCGTGTGCCAACAGTTCAGTGGTTGTGCAGCCAAGCAGCCACTGATGAGCAACTCCTTTGTTTTCCTACTGCTTGGGGTGTAGGCAGCATCCATTCCTCTACACCTCTGACTCTTCTTCCTTGTTTACCTGCACAATGTGCACATTTTCTGCAGTTCAGTTGATGTAACCTATCGCTTTGGGAGTTGACTGTGAGTTTGGGTGGTTGGTGAGAACAATTAGGGCATGTTGCCTTGATCAGTGTCAGTGTTCATTCCCTTGCAACTACTTTTTCCTTCTGCTCTGCAGAAGTTTCTTGGATTTCCCGGACCCCTGTACACTGACCTGAGAGGTGCCTGTCGCTGTTTACCAAGCAGCTCCCCTTCTTGCAATGGGACTGTAGTCTGTGGCCACTTCCATACAGAAGAAGCGATGTCTTTTCAAGTCTTTGGGGTTTTGGTACTAATCATAGAATCATAGGATGCCTTGGATTGGAAGGGACCTTAAATATCATCTGGTTCCCACCCCGCTGTCAGAGGCAGGGACACCTTCCACTAGACCAGGTTGCTCAAAACCCGGTCCAACCTGGCCTTGAACACTGCCAGGGTTGGGGCAACCACAGCTTCTCTGGGCAACCTGTGCCAGTCGCTCACCAGCACTCAAATATTAATTGAATAAAACTGCCACATATAATCAGATTTCCCTATGCTGTATGGAAAGGAAAAGTAAATGTCCCTCCTGGCTTTACACCCCCCATCATCAATCTCCTTGGGCCACTGGTGCAGGCAGCCCCCTGGGCACTTGCAGAGGCTAATGCACAGGCAGAGGTGAGGTTGCCTGTCCTCCATCCTTCCAAGCCACTTTGTCTCATTTGCCACCACATCATGTTCCCCCTTGTTGTCATGTCATCCCCCTGAAGCAGAACAGCTCCCACCGTGGCACATCGCACATCAGGCTTTGAGGCAGAACCTTCCCAGTGTGAGACACTCGGGATCTTTTGGCTGTGTTAACACAGAGCCTGCAGCCTGCACAGGGAATACCTTGTTCAAATGTTTTCCTTGAATGAAGCCATGTTTACAGACTGATAAGAAATACTAGAATCCTGGGGACCCTCAAAACAGAAGGTTGTGGGTATTCTTGGGTTTCTTTTACTTTTTAAAGCCTGTATTAGAAGCAGTGGTGTTTTCTTTATGGTTTTTGTTTTTAAAGAAATTTTAAATGATGGTATAATTGTTACAGGCAGTGATTATGTGTCAAAAAGAAAAAAAAAAAATTAAGGTGTGTTAAATTGCTGAAGTAGAGCTTTTCCATACTGTGGAACTCTGTTACCAGTACCTTGATTTAGGAACCCTGCAAATGACAGGGCTGTGGGTAGCTTCTGAATTAAGTAACTTTGTGTACCTTTTCCTGTGGCTTACAGCTGAAGGGAGCAAGTGCGCAAGAGGGCACATTCTTTTGTTGTTGATAGCATTCCGCCTTAACGAGAAGGAATTTCTTGCCTAATGCCTATTGTTTATGGAGTGGAAAGAGATCACAAGTTGTATAATCTTTCTCTATCGTTTGATTTATTTATTTTTAACCTTGCTCTTGCAGCTGGGTTGATCTGCAGCAGGTGCAATGAGTGGTGCTGTAACACGTTAATACCCTGCACCTATACTCTGTAATATTGGTGTGAGTTGGGGGGGGGGGGGGCATAAAGAGGGGAGGAACACGAGAGGAAAAAACCCTGATGTAAGGAAGCAGCAGCACTGAATACAGTTTGGTTTCTGTCTCTTTGGAGCTTTGCTCAGCAACCAAACCCAGACTCCAGGTGCAGTATTCCCTCAGCGGTCTGTGAGCATAGAAGCAGTGTGTCCCTCCTCTTCTTCCTCCCCTGCCAAGAGTTTCTGGGTGGTGAATGTCAGTAGCTGGAGTTATTTTTAAAGGCAAGAGGTGAGGCTTGTCGTGCAAAGCGAGGAAGAGGGCGTTTGTTTGCTGAACAGAGCTGACATCAAAGTGGAGATTGCTGCCTACTGGCTCACTGCTGCCTTATGCCAGGTAATCTTTAACATACCCCTCAGTCACTGAGATCTCAACCCAGCCTGCCTATGTGCATGAGGAACGACCTGTGTTTATGATCCCAAAGATTGTTTTTTCAGTATTATTTACGTGAACTGGACTTTGACATTCAGAGGCTGTCGCTAATCATCTTGCAAAACCTGCTTAGTGCTTTTAACTAAGCAACTGCTTTCTACTTCTCTTTGCAGGATAATATAAATGTTTTTCTGAAAGCGTGTGAAAATATTGGACTGAAAGAAGCTCAGCTTTTTCATCCAGGAGATCTTCAGGATTTGTCCAATCGAGTTACAGTCAAGTGAGTTTTGTGGTTTGTTTTCTCCCTCCCCTTCTCCCTCCAAGATGTTTCACGGTCTTTTTTTTTATTGATTTATTTATTTTTAATGTTTGCCTATGGAAAATTCTTTTAATCTGGTACAAGCAGTTCTGAATACTGTGGAGAGGGTTTAAGCCTTGTTGAGACTGGTAGATATGATTTGCACAAATTTAATTTTAAAACATGAGTATTATACCTTACAAGCAAAATAATTAATGAATATTTACAGGATTTAATATACGAGAGAGAAACTGTTCAGGTTATTTTAAACTTGGAGCAAAATTAACTGTTAAATGGTATCGCAAGCATTGCTTCCCTTTATGCTTTGAGATTACTGATGTAAAATCTGAAAGGCTGAGGTGGTACTTCTGATACTTATCTGAATGGCTCCGAGGCTGAGGTACAGTGTTCCTCAAGGACTGCGGGTCTCACCACTCCAACTATTAATCAGGTGTTTGTTACTGAATGTCACATCTCCTGTCAATGGGGGTGTAGAAATCAAGTACTGAATTGCACAAAGGGAAATTGTCATGTTTACAGAGAAAAGAGTTTTCCTGTGAAATAGCAGTGGTTTGGTTCAGAAATATAATTGATGGATTCTCAAATCTCAGGACTGCTGTGTCTCCTATTAGGAGTCTTAGTAGTTTCTGCGAGATTAAGGTGTATTTTTACTGTATAGACACTTAACAGGTGTTTTAAGATAAATGTGTCATGGAAAAATATTGTCCTGGGGCATCTTGCTTTGTTACAGTATTAGCTGTTTTTATTGTGTTAGTACAAAGGGTGGATTTATTGTCTCCGAAAAAAAGAGAAGCTTCAGTGATTCTTGCTGAAAACCTATCAGGTTAAATGTTAAGAATTGATTCCTATCTTATATTGCTGGTTTTATCAAAGAAGAATAGGCAGTAATCCTTCTGTAAATACAAGGGAAAAAAAATACTGTGAAATGACACAGTTGCTTTAATTGGAAAGAAATCTCTATGTAGGTGGATCTGGCAGTAGCATGTTGACATACTCTCTGCCTGGTTTCAGAATGAAAGTTCATACCGTTTTGAGGTCTGATACTTGAGATGGCAATGCATTTTCCAATCTTTGACTCATACCCGAAACGTATTTAGGGACTTGGCACCTTTCCAGGATGCTGGTATTCTTGCTGCTGGTTCCTACATCATGCCAAAAGCTGGAGGGTTGGTAGCTTCTAACATGCTTTAATTATCCACAAAACCCTCACTACAGTTATTTTGGTGGAGGTTTGCTTCCAAGAGTATCACCAGGAAGGGTTAGAGGCGGTCAGGAGCTGGTCTTCAGCAATGTCAGTAGTGACAAGCTGAAACCCTGGGGAGGTCGAGTTAGCAAACTGTTGTGCAAGGTATGTTGTCCAACTTGTCCCTACTTTAACAGCAGCTTCCAAGTGAGGTCAGCCATGAAATTAATCCAGTGGGTCTGTAACCAGGTTTTGTTGGTGATGTGTTTTGTTTAGTTTTGTTTTATCCTTTCAGCTCTGCTGGTTCCCCTCCCAGCTCTGGGAACAGAGAGTAAGGCTGGAATTAGAAGTTGCCATAAGGCAGTGGGGGTTTTACATCATAGGTACTTGGCAACAGGTTAGTTGGTGATTTTCAGAAAAGTAGGTTTAACCATTGAGCTCTTCTTACTGAGAGCAATGAAAGGGGTCTGGGTTAGAGCTGGGAAGCTGCCAGCTGCTGGTGGTATAGCCATGCTCTTTTAATGCATTTCAGTATAAGTTTGATTTTTCCAAACTGTTATATGGCAGTCCCACAGTGTGTGTAAAATACTTAAAATAATTCAAAACTTCTGTATCTGAGCATGCTGTAAAGTGGTAACCTAAACTATACCAGCACATTTTGATGTGTTTAGGAGTTTGGAGGGGGATGGGAAGTTTTAGTCCAACAAATGAAGGAAATAAGTTATACGAAGAGAGCTCTCCCCATTGAAAAGTTTATTATGAGTCATTTGATTACCCAGAGGGCAATCTAGTCTTCAGAGGGTTTCCAGAGAGAGTCATATGTGTGTCAGGAGAGAAATGCTATCTGATCAGGAGCTTTATCTGATGTTTTGTTGTTTTGTTTTTTTTTTTTTGTTATTTAATAGAAATAAATAACTTCATATATTTGAGCTGAATTACCAATTTCGTCAAAACTTGTAGGATGCCAGGCCTCAGAAAAGGGATACTATTTCATGTCTTGCTTTCATATTATCCTCTGTTAACCTTAGTTTCAGCATTAGAAGTAACTAATTTCTTTTCCCAAAGAGGGGAAACCTTTTTTATATGCTGATTTTTATAAAAGATTACATTCAATTTTTGGCTGTCTAACATTCCTAAGCAAATCCATTTTGCTGCTGTCACCTGAGGCTAATTGCCCACATCTTAAACCATCTGCGATAGGTTGTGCAGGATAACATTTACGTGTGCCTGAAGCGGTGTGTATTTTGACACCTCAGCAGTATTGCTGTATTCTGCAGTTGCACCACCATTACAGCATGCTTATCTACCCAAAATAGATTAAATAAACTGTTCCTGAAACAGTCAGCTTTTCAGGCTGAGAACAGCATGCTGGTGGGATACACATATGTACTGCCAGGCATAAGAAGATACCTGATTTGCCTTGCATGTGGAAAGGAGATAAGAGGAAGGTACTATTAAAAGGGTGGGTCTGCTTATGTAGCTAAAGGCAGTCATGAGAGTTGTCATTTTATGTCAGAGCAAAACCAATTTCTGATGCTGGCTGGGAGGTTGCATCTCCATCCCTGCCATGCTGGGCCTCCTGTAGACTTCTCTAATTGTTCTGATGCCTCTGGTGCTGGAAAGGTCCTGGAGGAGGATCGCCTGCCCACTGAGGATGATGTGCTCTGTGGAGAGGTGTTCCCTCTGTTTTTCCTGCCTCTGCTGCCTGGCAGTTATGTGTGGTACCTCCTTCTCCTTACCTTGTGGGAAATCATATGCCCTAAGGCTGTTGGCATCTTGTGCTGTGGTCCTGTCCACCTGGGCAGGCTCCCTTCCCAGAAGGAAAAGTAAGTTCTCCTTGTACCTTTAACTGTACCTTTGCTGATAAGTGCTCGGTCTTTCTATCTCATCAACACCACCACAATGCCTTTCAGAGATACTGAACTTTGTGTGTTGGGTGATGTTCTTTTGTCACCTGAGTTAAGGTGAAGACTCTCTGTTCCTCATGGCTTGCCAGAAGCTGTGCTAAGAAAATAATCTTACTACCTGGTAAGGAGGTTACAACTTTCACTTGTATTTTGTTTTCTATTGCAAGTGAGATGATGCATAGGGATAATGAGAAAGTCCTCTGTAATTACAACTAGTATCTGGGACAGGAGAGGCAAGAATCCTCTTAAATATCCAGACTCTCAGTTCCAAGTGATTATGTGATTATCCTTTTTGCAAAGAAAAAGCTCCTTAAATTTTCATTGTTTAGAAGGTTGTGTGAAGAGGGCTGGTTAAAATTACTGGTTGCTCTTCAAAGCCTTGCAAACTTTATGCTTTGCCAGATCAGCAATGAGATTAGTAGTCAGGTAATGTGGAAAAAATATACTGGCATGGATGGTTTCTTTTCTGCCAATGAAAACGGGAGTGTGCAGTAATGCCTGAGATTTATAGTTCAGTCTTTCTGTAAATCTGCAGAAGTTATTGCTCAATGGTATAGTACAGCAATGTGTCATGTGTTCCAATAAAGATTATCCAGATGGATTTATTCCTCGCCTACCATGTTTGGCAGTCATGTGCACATCATACTGTTTTGTGGCTAGTTATTTGTGTATATGCCTATGCATTTTTCTTCCATTCTTTCAGTGTATTTTATTTTATTTTTTATTTAGCCTAGGATTTTATTATTTTTAATTGGAGGAGGTGTTATTTTAAAACCCAGCAGCTTGAGAGGCTTTTTTAAATTCACACCAGTGAGAGATTCACTTCATTTGATTATTTTTTAGTCCTGTCAAAGTAAGAATTCAATATGAGCTCAGTGACTCTCAGTTGTCAGTTACTATTTAAAAATGTAAGTACGTCCCTACCCATCTCTTTATAGGTGACACACCCAGCTGTTCCCAGCTGTGGAATGGTTCTTTGTAAAATCGATTCGTGGAGTTGAAAGGGCGAGTTTGCTTAGGCAGATGCCAAACTTCAGTTCTGGTGGAATTTGTTATCCCAATCATCAGTTTTAAAGGAGGCAGCCTGAAGAGTCAGACTGAGAGTGTAAACTGTGTCTTGTCTTTCAAGCAAATTAATTCTTCTGTCTGAAAAAAAAAAAAAAAATCTGGAAAATGAAGTATCCACTCCACAAGTCTCATTAAATACTACTAATAAATCCAACAAACTTTTTTTAAAGCCACCACAAGCCCTTGAGCCCTAATGTTGAAGTTTGGTTTACAATATCAATTTTATTTCTCAATAAAATAGCAGCTTAAAATATTTGGCTCCTGTTAATATTTTTACTACAGGGTTATACTTAGAATGAGGCTCAAACTATCTCCCAAGGTAGCCAGAAGTATCTCTGTGCCTTGCAGAACTTGGGATTTGGATAAGGCCTTCAACTTCTTGCTGCTTTGTACTTTTCCAAGTATTTGTTATCAATCCTGTTCACTAAATGAAGTGTAAATTGTATAAAGCGAGCAGAAAACCCTGTCATACAAGTCTTGCTGAAGTTGAAATTAAGTGCATACATGAGATGAAGTAACTGAGCTCTGACCTATGGCCCTGGCATTTCTAACTTTTGAATAGTTTAAGCTTACCAATTTGATGTTTCTTTAGCACAATTATGTTTCATTATTTCCTAAAGAAAAAAGCAACTTTTGAAAAATTTGAATGCCATGCTTTGTGTTGCATAAAGCTCTATGTAACTAAAGCCAACTAGAGACAAGTAACAACTGTTACCTGTCATGTTCATCCTTGTGTTCATGCATTTCAGCTGATTTGGTTTTTATTTTTGTGGGGTTTTTTCTTTTTCTTTTTTTTTTTTGAG